GTATTAATAGTGTTTATTTATTAATCCTTTTTCTGCTTTACTTGTGTTGCTTAGCTTTTTGTTTTGCTAATCTAAGTCTCTTGCGCACTTGCTCTATGCGCGACTAGCTTGCAACATGCTGCAATTTGCTGCAACATACTGTTTAAGCTTATTGCTTGTACTATGTAGCAGCTTTCGTCAAGCGTTCCTCCTGTCTTGACAGTAGGTGCGCATATCTGACAGCAATACTAGCTGTGTGTCTCTATATTAATGCTATGTGTGCACGCTTGCTCTAATAGTAATCTAAATTAATGTTAAGTTTGTCTATAATAAAAGCTTACTATTATTTAAACATAAGTTCTTTACTATTTATAAAGATCCTAATTTTAAGTGTGTGTTTAGTAAAGTAGATTTACTAAGTCTAAAAAGTACTTAAAAGGTCTTTTACACTTAAAGTAGTAAGAGTAGTATAAGGCGTTATTAGAGGTAATTTAGTAGTTAGTAAAAGTTAACTAGTAGTTTTTAGCTAGATTAGCTGCTTAAGCTATGCTTATAATTCAGCAATCTAATTATTAATAAATATACTACTAGAGGTTAACTCTAAATTAAGTAGAAGTATAGCTTTAGGTGCTGTAGAAGTAAGTTTAGCTGTTAACATAAATTATAAATTAACTCTAAAAAGCTTGCCTTAGCTAGAGTGTATTTTAATTCTAGAATTAAAGAGTAGTTAGTAAGACATTAGTAGTTACCTCTAATTCTAATAAGTTATTAGTAGTCTTTAGTTTTTTACTTTAGCTGTGACGGCGTGTACCGCCTCACATGCTCTGCGGCATTAGCTCCCTCGCTTGCGCAACGAGTAGCACGCTAGTGCTACAAGTAGCGCCTTGGCAGGGGGCACACATGTATATTTAAACTCGCAGAGCAGCTCCTCTGCTCCTTAGTTTAATCTAGTTGAGTTACACCACCTCTTGCTTGTAGCTTGAGCATGCCGACCGTGACATTAGCGCACTTTTTATAACTTTTCTAAAAGCAATTTTAATTTATAAACTAAATAGTTTAGTATAATAGTGTGTAAGTATTATAACCTAAACTAAATTAGACACATCTTAAAGCTTAGATATAGTTAAATAAATAATTAGTGTAATATTATAATAAAGCTGTTACTAGTAAAAGTAAGTTTTTTAAGATAATGTAATAGCGCAGGCAAGACAATAGGTCTAAATATAGTAGGAATCTACTTAGAGGCATATAGAAGTGTGTAGGGACTCTAAACCTAGGAATGCTATTAACACCTATAGGCCTTGTATAAAAGAATATTAGAAAACTACTAAGCTAGCTACAGGGGCAAGGTGCAACTAAATACATAAAGGAATAGAGGTATAGTAGAGAGCAAGGCAGAGTTAGGGCTAGGTTAAGGTTAGGGCTAATACAAGGGCCTTCTAGAGGTTCTAGGCAACCTAAGATAGAGACAATTCATAAGAATTAAGTTAGGGTTAGAGCTGATACAGGGACCCTTTGGATAGGTTCTAGGCGACCTAAGATGGAACGAGAATTGTTACAGCTAGGGGGGAAATCCTTATATATCTAGCTTAAGTATGTGCTAAATAATTAACTAATTCTTATTATTATCTAGCTTTTATAAGTTAGCTATATAATTAGCTTAAAAAGGTTGTCTAGCGTGTTAGTTACTTATTATTTTTTAAAAAACTTTATAAATAGCTATAGCATGTTGCTTAAAAAGTGTTACATTTTATTTAAAAGCTTAAAGCATAAGCTGCATTTAACATTTTTTTAATATGTTTAAGTAGTGTTGTTAGAAATACATTAGTGTAGAAAAAGTAGTGTAGTAGGGTCTTAGTAAAAGTAAGTAACTTAGGTGTGTAAGCAACTTGCCTGTGAAGTACGTTATTTTTTACATAAACTAAGTAACGTACTTCATGGGCAAGTTGCTCACACACCTGAGTCGCTTACTTTTGCCAAGACCCCACCCTAACAAACTCTATTATGGCCTATAACAACCTGCTCTAGCACTATATAGTACAGTACAGCCTAGAATATTATTTAGATACTACTTCTGCTTCTTGCTTACATATTTGCGCATTATGCCTAGTCTAATTGCACTGTCTGCAGCGCCTTTAGGATAGCTTACTTACTTTAGCTTACACCTGCTTCTTTACCTTCTTTCTATTACTACGCGCTTTAAACTCCTTTAGAGCTATTAAGCGTAGGCCTTTCTAAATTATTAAGGTCTTTTTTGCTTTAATTTACTTTCTTTTATATAATTTATGTTATATAGTAGCCTTATTAGCTACTTAAAGCTTAGTAATTTCTTATTATGCTAACACTAGCTTATATGTAATTATTACTACCTTTTTTAAAACTTTTTTAAACACCTTAACTATAAAAGTTAGTAAACTATTTATATACTTTTAAATTTTTATTTTTATAAGTATTAATTATAACTTAAGTTTTAAAGTATTACTTAGAGTTTATAACTACTAGGGCTTATTATATATAAGTAGTAGTAGTAATAAAGTGTACAACTTTATATTAAGGCTTATTATAACTTATTATAGGTTAAAAAAAACTAATCTAGCGCTTTAAAACTTTTTTTAAATATTACTAAAAGTAATTATAGCATTATAAGCTACTTTAAAGCATAGTAAGAACTTTATTTTTATAATATAAGTAATCTAGTTATATATAAGGTTTTTAGCTTAGCGCTTATATACTTTCTTTAAAAAAGTAAAACAACCTACATTAAGTAGCTATAAAAAGTGTAATAAGTAAAAAAGTATATAAATAGTAATAATTTTATTATTTTTATAGTATTACTAGAAATAAAGTAAGTTATAGCTCTTATAGCTATTAATAACTAGTAGATAGTAGCTGCTAACAGTACACTTTTTTATATGCACATTAAAGTGCTTTAACTAGTCTAGACTAAGCTAATTAGTAGTCTAGCTGCGCTTAGAGATTATAATAACTTAATTTTAAAGTAGATTTTTTTTATACTAGTTTAAAAAATAGTTGCTACTTTAAAAAATAATAAAAAGTAAAATAGCTTACTTTTTAGCATTAATGCCCTAAATAGCTGTTGTCTACTTCTAGTTACCTAGCTAGACTGCTTTTAGCTGTCCTTATCTCTCTAAACTTATAACAACTGCTCTAGTAGATATCTAGCCTATTATAAACCTTATTTTATTAAAGTTATATATGTTATTATTTTAGATGCTATACTTAACTTTAATATTCTTTATAAAGTTAAACTAGCTTTAAATTACTATAAAATTTTTATAAAAAGCTTTTTTATAGTTATACTTATACTTAAACTTTACTTTAAGCTTTAAGTAACACTTAATAAATGTATTAAGCTAGTTTATACTAATATAGCCTATATTACACTTAGTGTGTAAAGAATTAGCTATATTAGCTATAGCTACTAGCTAAAGAGGAAATCCTTGCGCATCTAGCTTAAGTATGTGCTAAATAATTACCTGCTTTTTATTATTATCTAGCTTTTATAAGTTAGCTATATAATTAGCTTAAAAAGGTTATTTAACGCGTTAGTTACTTATTATCTTTTAAAAAACTTTATAAATAGCTGTAGCATGTTGCTTAGAAAGTGTTGCGTTTTATTTAAAAGCTTAAAGCATAAGCTATATCTAACATTTCTTTAACATGTTTAAGTAGTGTTATTAGAAATACATTAGTATAGAAAGAGTAGTATAGTAGGGTCTTAGCAAAAGTAAGCAACTTAGGTGTGTAAGCAACTCGCCTATAAAGTACGTTAGCATTTAGCTTTCTAAAGAGCTATAATACTATTTATATATTCTGCAACATATATACCTCTAATTCTGTCTAACAGGACTGTTTAACCCAGCCTCTATACTGCTGTACAGGGACAAACCACAATCTGGTCACTCTACGCCACTCCATTAGCCCACTAGCCATTACGTAGGACTGTACACCCTACCGTCGGCCCCTCTGCATCCTGCCCTGCCCTAGGGATAACATTGACCCGCGTGCTTCTAAGAAGCAAGGATTGTAACACCTTTCTCCCAGGTATGGGTAGGGGAGTCGAAGTGATCTTTGAGGGAGTAATAGATGTATAAGTCTCAGAGGAGCACTTGTTATCTAATGTAGAGATTGACAACAACTTTCCTAGAGAGTCGTTTCAGAGGTATATATACATGGGATTGGATCGCAGGCCTCGCAGGCTGACGGCTGCCTCGCAGTTGCCAAGGTGCGAGGCTTGCGATCCCTTTCTTGGCTTGCGATCCATCTGACCTTAGTCATCCTGTCACGTGACTTACCAGAGTCTTGGTTCGCTTATTCTAGCCCCTGTCGCTTGTTACCCCTCTTCTAGTGCGACTGTCCTTCGCCATACAGTCGTAATCAAATAATACATCAAATAATACACTATCTCTGCCGCCAAGCCCTCTCTCCTATTGGTCTGGATATAAGCCGGTTATTGATCTGATTGGTAGAAAATCAAATAACCAAAAAGCTTTGTTGTTCTACGTTTTTAAGCTTTAAGTAATCATTCTGCTCTGCTACATGCTTAATCTAGCCTTCTTTTTTCCCTATCATGATCAAAGACAACGCAGTAAGGGGTGTTAAAATCACTTCTGCTGCGTGGTTTTTCCCTCCAAATATGATTAGCGCTGCTAAGACCTTCCAAGCAAAGCCCGTTATTGTTCCTAATCAGGACTAGCCACTTTCTTCCTGGAAAGGAAGGATAATCTGCTCGTAGTTTAACAGTGCAAAACGTAAGCTGTATTCTAGTTTCTTTTAAAGATTCTAATTAGTGTTGTTAAGGCATTGTAATGTTAGGACGCTTGTGTAGCTAGCCGTGGCGGTGCGAAATGAGCAGCGGGTGAACGGAAGTTAAGCCAGGCGTTATTTTGCTTACCAACGGGGGATACGGCGCTAACCAAAAGGGGAAGTGGGAGGAGGTCAGTTGGTCGATGATAAACGCAAGACCATAGAAAATTATGCTAGATCAGACCATCTGGCAGCCTCAACTAGCCGTGAGGTCATCGATATCTTTATTTATCCTAGCCAAGACCGGCCCGATCGAACGAGAGCTACACTACATCTTCAACCCCGTTCTCCCGATCCTCGAAGTCCTCTTCCTTCATAATCTCTCCTCCAAGAATCTTTCCCCAGTGAGTCTTCCCAATTTCTTTGCAGTCTCGACGAATTCGGGTAAGAAGAACCTTCAAAAACATAACTGGACTCTTTTTCAACACAACCGCCGCATTACTGAGCTTCGGGGCAATAAATCCGTCCGCTTCTATTCCTCCTTCCTCCGTTGGCTTCCACGCGAGCTGCAGCATGTCGCAGGTTGTCTTATAGTCTGCGAATGAGCCGAGGAACAACTGACCAGCAAATAGGTTAAGTTCTAACCTCTGGCGGGAGGGTAATTTCCAGTTAGGGTTGAGCGGCGGGACGGTGTAGAGAAGGAGACTGTCCAGGGCTGGGAAGGCGAGATTCTGCTGTGGTGCGTAGAGATGTAGGCAGACGGATCTAGACTCCTTGAACTGTGACATTAATTCCTGAGCTTCGTACGGGCTGATGATAACGAGGCTCTTATTGACAGTGCTAGTCACGATCCATTGGACGGGCCGTTGATAGGAGTCGGCATATACACTTCTTCCTCTGAGCTTCACCGTTCGCGCAAAGTCGGCAGTCGTGAAGACGCTACCTGGCAGTTGGGTCACATCGAGATACGATGCTGCCCTAGTGTTTCCAAGTGTCTGAAATGCTGGGATGAAGACTAGAGACCTTGGTGGTATTCGGCCTGTTGTGACAAACTCTTTAACATGCTGATCTAGGTGGTGCTCTTCGGGTTCCGCAGGGTCAGGCCTCTCAACTTGTCGCTCCTGTTCAATTTCCGGAGACAGCTCTCGTTCCTGTTCTTCCTGTAGTGCCGAAGACCTGAAGTGAGCTATGTCAAACTCTTCGCAGCGCTCCAGCATGGCGGCAACACTGCGGTTTCCCTGAGCATCTGAGAAGAGGTGGGGTCGGTCTTGTGCGGTGTTAGAAGTAGGCTTGTATCGGTATTCCAAACTCTGAGCTTCCTCTTCCATAAACTTCTCAGCCTGTTGTGGGGACATTTTAATTCCTGTGGAACTTGTTATGTCGTCCCAAATTGCTCTTTGTTGCTGGAATCTGTCTCCTTGTACAGCCCACAGTGGCATGTTCCGACGAAGGTCCGTGTAGGTCTCTGAAATTGCCCACATCAAGACGTCAGACACATCGATGTCGGCTTTCTTTGAGATACCTTTCATCGTATAGATCTTGGACCGGATTTCCTCGGGAATGCAGAAGACAACCGACTGGCCATTCCCGAGCTTACGCATTCTCATACAAGCTGGGACATGTTAGCTTACTTATATGATATTGGAAAGCGACTTGCCCTGAACTAGTCTATCCTTTGTCAGGTTTGCGCCTAAGGTGACAGCCGCTCTGTAATCTTTGGGGAGCTTCAAGTCGGTGCCTCTAGTATGGGCCTCGTCAAGGAACACCAGACAAACATCGAGGTGTTCAGAGTATGAAGATGTCTGCAATTGTTCTACATGGCCCTTCCGATTGATGACGCAAATTTCGTCATCATCATTGAAGAACACGACAGCTTCCTTCTGGTGCTCTATGGGCACCACATCCAACCATTCACGTGCAACCTGGATGTTGGTGAGTTCGAGGATTTGCGCTCCGACATCAAGGATCACATAAACGGGTGGATCCATATAAATTACGTGCTGCAACAGTGTCTCTGCATCTGAGCAGCCAGCATCCTTCTGCTGTAGCAGATATTGGACCGTATTCTCTGGCTGAAGGAGATGCTCCAAGACTAAGGCATTTGTGTGGCATTGCCCCTCAAGGTCCAGATGCTTAACATCGAGAGGCAGCAGATGGCGAGAGTCGTTGGTACCGCTAAAACCCGTAGTTGGGTGCACTTTTTGTTGTCCGAGATCCCATCCTGAGGCAGAGAGCTTCTGTGGAAACTCTTTCACTTCCTTGGGAAAGACAATGTGGGCTAAGAAGTAATCTACGGCACCCTTTGCAAAGCGAAGGTGGGGGAAAATCAGATTAGACGCCTGGGACCGGTCTTTCATGTTGATTCCGACCAAGCGATGGAATGAGGGGTCTAAGGATTCCGGTGCATCTTTCACCCACTCATGATATTCGATATCAGCCTGATCAGATTTCATGAGGTGATCGAAGGCCAAAAAGAGATCTTCGTCTGACAGACCGCCATAATAGTAGCACAGACAAGTCAATACGATCAAAACTTCAGGATGGCTGAATTCCGACCTATCTTTCGGGTTGTCTTTTGCTCGGAAAGGAAGAGCAAGTCTAGTCTTTGGGAGTCGGCTTGGGTCAAGACCGTAGTTGACTCGCCATCGCTTATGGCCCAACGTAAACCCTAAGACTCCCTCCGCGATCAAACCTCTAAGGAGGAGCAAAGGACCTTTAATAGACTCGGTAAAAAAGGCGGGATTACCTTCAACTGAGGATATCTGGTGAGATGAGAGATGTGGCTCAGATATATAGACTAGTACTGATTGTCTAACTTTAGTGGGCTGTCTCGCGATCGGGAATCCTGGAAACCCAGTTTCGCATATTTCTTGAGCAACCTCCTTCAGAAGCATAGCGTGGGCGTCCTGACGCAAAAGGCGCGTTCTAGGAAAGCACCCCTGGCGGCTATGGGTAACCTCAATTGACTCTGGGAGTATCTTACGTATCAAGGGGGTTTTCCTACCGACAATGGTGAGAAGTCGTTGTACGAGACCCCAGCGCTCTGGGCTGAGTTCAATAGCGCTCTGTATTCCCATTGTGTATACCAACTCGAACTTGACGCTAAAATTCTCGTCACTTTCGTCAACAATGTCTCGAGAATGCAAGTTGAAGAAATGCTGCAAGTCCATAAGCACACGACCTATATTCTCTCGGCCAGACTCATAACATTCGATTCCCATCAGCTTGAATGAAAGGATGTGCTCTGGCTGCACAAGCAGGATGCCTCGATTCGCGATGCATTCTTTGATGAGACTCTCAATAGCACTGGCACCATCCGCTGTCAGCCTCAGGGACCGGGAGAAAGGCATGTGGTAGATCTGGTGGCCGAGGAGTCTCCCCAACTTGCACACAAGCGTCCGGAAGAGTTCTTTCGCCTGTGGCTTGGCAACGACAGCACGAACGAGGGTCGCACCGTCTGCCAAATACGCAGCAATCATAGGTAGAATGACGGATGATTTTCCTTCTCCCATATTTAGTTGCATGACCGCGTTGGAATTCGTTGGTGGGCTCCTCATCTGCGAGGCAATTTCTTCTTGGACTTCCCGAATCATTATTCCGCTCTCAACTTCGAGCAACAAAGATTCAGGGTAGTCTAGTGGATCCCAATTCGTGTGACCGATGTTAAGGAGTTCCTTAAGGAGATCGGGTTCGTTTCCGCAGAGGTTAAGCATTCGTTCCGCTCGTTGGAGGCTCGTGAGCGCTATGCCATAGACCACGATTGCCTTCTTCCACTCCAAAGGGAGATGTTGCCACTTCGGGCGAGCCAGTTGACTGAGGAAGAATTTCGGAGACACCCTTGGTGCCATGAATTTTGATCCAACCTGCTCGCTGTGTCTATGGGCCGCGGTCGATGTCGTTGAAGTGGTCTGACCATGAAGACACACAGCAGATTCCAAGGACAGGTAGATCGCCTCGAAATTAGTCCAGCACTTGGATAGATTCTCCTGGAGGAGTTCAAGAAGGCTATCCCCATGATGTGTCAGCGAGTAGAAAAGGTTTCGACCCTTTAGGGACTCTAGGCTTTTTTGCAAGTCGTACACATAGTTTCGTTCGTGCTTCATTGAAGCTTGCTCTTTCAGGCGATCCACAAGGGCAGTCACTCGGTCACCTTTTATCCTTTCAAGAACTTTTGAATGAGATAAGTTGAGGTCGGAATTTTGAAGTTTAGGCAATGAGGGCACACTCTGCTGGAAAATGTCCTGCTCGTTGATGAAAACCCTTCTATTTCCTGTATGCGAGGTTTGTTCCGTCCCAGCCTGTCTCTGATTTACGGAAATCGGTTGGACAGTGCACTGTCGAAGAGAAGCGGCCACCTTGCCTAAATACAAGTAAAATTGGTGGTTGAGATGCCACTGACCCCACTTTGACCGTACGTCTTCCATTGCGACTGGTACTTTGATGTATGTTTCAATATCGTTGCCACTCGGGGTCAGTAGAATTTCGCGAATCCACTGATTATGGATTGAACTTGCAAATCTGGCAATGGATGCGTTCTGGTTCTTCTGAAAAGTTTGGCGGCGGCGTTGACCGAGCTCTGAGAGCGTTTCTCCGTATCTAGATTCGAGGCTAGCTTCTGGACAGCTCGTAAACTTCTGTATATTCTGTTTCCGCCCAGCAATATCTTTGAGGACATTTAGCTGCGCGATACGACCTTGGCTGAGCTGGAAATAACGAGCATTGGGAACACTGATTAGCCCCACCGAAGATATATTAGCAAAGGCCGCAAGTGTTTGGATTGCCTGTGAATCACCACTTTTGGAGTAGGCCATAGCAGCGAGGCACATCATAGTCTGGAACTTGTTGAACCGGGGTATGGTATCACCCAGGCCACGGTGGAGTCGACACCAGTATTTTTGGAGGAGATGTGGTGTTTCCCCTAACCATTTTGCATCATACCCCACTGACCCATCAGGGAGAAGCTCGTTAGGACCTTGCGTGTCATTGGGATCGAGGAGGGCCCATATCCGGGGCACAAAATCGTGACAGATTTTTCGGTAAAGGGTTTGACGTTGTTCACATATCATCCTCGATACCTCGAATACTCGAATTGATCTCTTCGAATGGGGTAATTGGTCGCGCTCCTGGTAAGTTTGGTCGTGCTCATCAGTATGATCCTCAGCACCGAATCCGGACACATGAAAGGTGGACCCTCTAATACTCTGGCGTTTCCCCAACAGAATATCAACATGACCAAGCTTGGGAGGTTGAATATACGCCCCGGGGTAAAAGAACTTGGTAGATTCTGATTTCTCTAGGATTGACTTCACAGAAGTGTAGAAACTGCCATGCTGGGAGAGAAAGCTCAGATCGCTATTCCAAGTAATGGTTTCCATGACACGTATATGCTTCGGGTAGTATGCTCTTCCTGGAGAAAGTTTGGCGATACTTTCAAGGATGTCAAGATTGTCCTGGCAGAGGCATTCAAAGGACAGACATGCAGCCGATTGGAGGATTGACAGAGACTCCTCTGTACCAGTCTTTTTGGTCAGTTTATCAGGTAGACAGTATGAAGTGAGTGCATGGATGTAGCAAAGTCTCATTTTGCTCTGCAGATTCCCATTGTCAACTAGGCACCCTAGCTTGGCGTCGACTTCATACTGGTGAACCCGAGTTGAGGTTCCGTATTCAATGTCGACTTGAACATGCCCCTCGTATGCAAACCAAGAAACTTGGCCATCTGGTATGAGGATCTTCTGGCGCCCCCGATCGTCTCTGAGGACTAGCTTACTCTTCAGCCCCACTAACGTTCCGATGCTTTGGCTCGCGTCCACATGCATGCCTCGGAATTGTCGAGAGTAAAGCTTAACAGAACCGGATTGTAAGAAGAATCTAAGTTGAAGCCTTGGCATCTCGATGTCGACTTCGGACTGACGAGGATTGAAAATGAGGTGGATATAAAGTTCACTCTCAAGCGGCCTCAAGAATTCATGCAAAAATTTTGCAGTGTTGCTTCTAGGGCTAACAACCAACTGATCCTCCTTCCAAAGTTTCCAAGAAGTTCCACTATTTCGCAATGTCCAATGTGTTGGTGAAGAGACCCAAGGGCTACACTTCTGCCGAAACTCGATCATGCGAGTTTTTCGGCTATACCAATGTGCATAGTTGTTGACAAAGTAGTCTGGTAAGAGGTTCTCAAAGACCTTTGATGGAACAAGATCGAACATTTCTCTATCTTTGCGTGCTGACAGGAGGAGTTCGTTCGGGTCTGAATTACTCGTCCCGAAAAAGAGCGTATATCCGTGATGAGTCTTCTTAGACGAGAACTGCATGCCTGGAATGTTGGTTGGCATCACCTCTATTGCAATTCTGCCAAAGAGGGTCTTATAAATTGGGGCTCTCTCATACTTGGCTGGGAGACGAGACAAGGGGAAGCCGTTCACTAGTAACTCAGCCGTCAAAAGGTTGAAATACACCTTTCCTCCAGTTACGCAAGTCGTTATCCAATCATCCTCGTTGGTTGAAATCGGTTTCCATATCTCGCCCTCATCGTATGCCGGCCAACTCCTTCGAATAGCAAGATCTAGGCATGTGCTCCGATATTGCACAATCTCTCTAAGGAGAATGGGTCGGGATTTATAGAGAAGATGTCTCCACCGATGGGTTAAGTTGCAGTGGAAGCGATCTTCAGGCTGTAGCGCGCTGTGCATGGTAGTTTGTATGACAATCGAACACTCGACTAGGACGGCAGCCTCTGAAGAATCTGCAAGGAGGTCGCTCAGATGGTGTTCATCGACATCGAATGAGCTGACGCAGACGTGGGCAACTTGGAATGTCCTCAGGATAAACTCCATTCGTTGTTGGACATCTTCCAAATTGTAGGTCTTCTTCTGAAGAATGTAAACCCACTCTAGAGTGATTCTACGGCATGTACGGAGGAAATTAAGAGCCTCTGATGATATAACCGATGAGGGAGCGAGAGTGAGAATCCTAGCAGCAAGAGCTATGAAGCAACCCATCGCATGATAGGATTCCCAATTCCCTCTAATCCTATCGAGTGCAAGAGAAAGACCTCGTAGAAGTCTTTCAGCAAAACCTTTGTCCTGGAGCTGGTGGTGACTGGCTCTGTAGGTCATCGTGTCCAGTGGTGGCCCCGCTTGATAGGCAATCTGACGAATGAGAAGAGCAGTGTCGGCTTTCTTAAAATCCACGGTTGAGATATAAAGATTTGTGAGGATATTCGACCATTGAATGCGGAACCCCACAGGTAAGGTTGCCATGGCCTTGAACTCCTCGATGGACAGGTGGCCCGGGCAGTATGCTTGATCGGCGATGACATCATTTGGTGACATTCCATTCGGTTTATTGAATGGCCGAAACATAAATTTCTGGAGGCTAGTGCACTGGCCCGAGAGCTGATAAGTGCACATGAGCGGTATATCGTCTGTGATTTTGAACCTCGATACAAAGGCATGCTTTTCTTGATCATAATATCGATAAGTCATCCCGTCCTCGACCAGTACTTGCTCCTCTGTTGAAGTGGCTATTGATTTATCTCGTCTATGAGTTACTACGTTTGGCTTGGTGATCGAAACAAGGGTTATGCGACGATCGCAAGCTTCGTAGTAGGAGGGCAAATATTCTTTCAGAGTTTGTTCAAGGTCTTGTTTCTTAGACCCATCGTAGGCTGATTTCAGGACGTCAGCTAGAAGATAAGCTGTCCCATTCCTCCAGTCGTTAAAGACTTTGGGGACTTGTAGCTCGAATACGGTAGACTGTGCCTTCGGGATGTTACGGGGAAGCGGCCATTCGTGGACCTGGATAGTCAATGAATTCGCAGAGTTCCGATGGGTACACTTTTTGCAGTCGTGCCTATGTTTTGAAATCTGGGCTCCAGTCCAGGGATCTACACGCTCTTCATACTCACAATCAAGCCGGTTGGATAGAGCCATCAGACGCTTGTATTCTGCCTTCAGTCTAAGAAATTCATGTATCTTTTCTTCTCTCTCCAGATTAGCCTGACTTTCGATTTGCTTCAACAGATATTGATGATCCGTCGAGGTTTCAAAATACCTGACTGGGAAAGATTTCCGGTCTCCAAATGAAGAATAGATGGAAGGATATCTAGGAATTGCGGCATTATGACGAGCTTGGACATATGTCTCGATGCGGCTTAACCTCTCCATCTGCTCCTTGAATGGTAGGACGAGAGATTGAAGGAGCTGGTGCGGAACTTCGGGGTCGTAGTCGGATAGCAACGAGTGGTGTCTACAGGCAGTCTTATCGCATGAAACCCACATTTCCAGAATTGTTAATAGCATGACGGAAAGTCCTTCGGGGTTGTCTGAGTATTGCCGAGATGCGGTCCTGTGATAGGATCGCATGGCAGTGGACAATTTTTCGCAAGTCTCTTCCTCGGCACTGTTGGTTTCTACCCATGATTCCAAACAGGATGCAACCCAATTCTCGAATGTGAATAGATCAAAGGGTGTACGTTCATGCGATTGTGTACCTTGGATAGAAGGCATAATACTTTTGTTCAGTTTAGTCGCTTTCCATAGGGGTTTAAATGATAATTCACTTCCGATTTTTCGTCGAGAGTCGATTTGCTGGAGGAATTCATCCAATTCTGGGTAAGAGGCATATGTTCCACGTTCGAAATCCAGCGTAGACAAGGATTGCAGTTCTAGGGAAGAACCCGATTGCCGCATGACTTCTTCCCAGCGTTTCTCAATAGTGCATCGCGTACGCGACAACACACGGTCAACAGACAGGAGCCAGGGATAGCTAACTTCCTGGTCGAGCTTCAGTAATCGCCTCGAAATCTTTGCCATCATGCAGTAAAGTGTATCGCTAGGCAACCCATGGACAGCTGCCTTTTTCAGAATGTCCGCTAAAAGAAATGCCATGAACTCTTTGTAAAGGTTTTTGGTTGGAGCAAGGCGGGAGAAGAAAGTCTGGAGTGCCACTCGAGCCAGCAGCCAGACTGGAGATCGCCGCCACGGCAGCGGCGCTTTTTGCCACAGAACCTCCTCGCGAGTGTTTTTCCAGAGGCGAGAAGCCTCAACAGTCTCACCCATAGCGCTCAGGACAGTGGCAAGGAAGTCTGTGACTATGCGAGGATCTGTGGTATCCCTGTCTTCTAAATGGGTGTCCCCCGCTTTCATCACCTTAGATTTCATTTCAGCCACGCCCTGGTGACTCATCTTTCCAATTGTATGCGCAAGGGTTGAACTCCATTTATTCTCGCTGAATGTTTTCATAGACATCGAGACTGAGGAAGCGGGAAAGCAGCGGCGAAGTCGACCTTGCGTGCTCATGACATCTTCATTCCGAGGAGAAAGCTCGAAAAATTCGAAAGTAATTGAGTCTTCTTTGTGACCCACGATAATGGCAGCATTCTGCTCTTTCACGTAAATAGGTATAAACCCGCCTACATATTGTTTAGCTCTCAGGCACGGAACAAAACAGAGTTAGGTGAATATATCTTACCATTCTGGTCCAAATCGCAGAATACCTCTAAAAGCTTTCCCTCATTGACCATACCACGGTCATCCCTTACGTCACGTAGGCGGAGAATTGCGTGCTGGCAGGTATCAATGACAATCTTAACACCAGAGTCGGCGTAGGAGCCGAAACGTTGAAGAGAGTCAGTAACTGTTGTCAAGAGTGCCGTCTCATGTGCCGTAGCTTGCGGGTTATCGCCGGTTTGGGGCAAGTTTGGGGGAAGGAAGACATGATGAATCGCGTATTGAACGTCATCAACTGAAGGCAGTTGAGACAACAGGGTGTCCATCGTCAAGCTGGGAAGTAGCTCAACGTATTGATTCAATAGGCTGCCCAGGAAATGTTTCGGACCCCGAGGTGAAGGAGAGAGAAGGTCCTGAGAGGCGTAGAGGGTGAAGCGGGGAATTTTTTCTGCGCGACAAAGGAACTGATATGGAGGTAAAGAAGGGGATGGAAAGAAAGAAGACGGTGGAGGCAGAAGAGATGGTGGAAGGAAAGAGGAGGGTGGGAGTAAAGAAGAGGGTGGGAGTAAATAAGAGGATGGAGATGAAGAAAGAAGAGGTGGTGAAAGGAAGGTCTAGTAGCGGAAAAGTTTACAAAAGTTTGCTCAACTTTTAATAAAGTACCGTGCGATCCAGGCAGCGACTAGATTGATTCAGCCCCACTTAGGAATCACCTCTACGCCGCATGCTGCTAGCCGTGGGGCGTATGCTTTCCAGCGCGAGCCCCGGGACTCTGCAACGAGCCATCAAATCAAACGATAGGGAGCAGTGACTTGCCCACACCGCTAAATCTTTTCAACTCTTCTGGAGTAAAAGTGGTCTCAAAGCAGGGATCGGTAAGTTAAATGTGGGGATGTCTCAGTGAAGTTTTCCAAGGTTCTATCAGAGCTGGGAACGTGCATTCACATCAAGAGCCACGCCGTCAGTTGCTCCCGTCTTCGTTCGTCCCTTCCCCGTGTTTCCTAGATTGACGTGGAGCATCCCGACCTCCAACTGTTGTGTCACCGTTATACTTTATATTGACACTCGGTGAAAGTGTTATCTTCTTCGAGTTGCGTTTGTCCTTCTAAGCTCCGAATGAGTTGTGATTTTGGTGCTTCGGAAAAGTATCTTTTGCCGATAAGAGCAAACGCTACCTGCATGTCCAATCACCTCGCGCCCGTGCCCGCTTAATATCGAGCTATGGTACAAGAAATGTGTTCGGGAGATTATGCCCAAATAGCCCAACCAAGTTCAGACCCTATTTTCTAGGTGCAGCGACATTATCGCACGGTTAGTTATGGAGCTGACGCATGATAGAAGAGGCATATGAGAGCCAAAAATAAGTCGATTGAGGGAAGGTGTAGGTCTAAGGAGCGAGAGAGAGATCCGAGGTGACTATATAGTGGGTAGAATAGCGCTAGTCTCAACAAGGGACGTTAGTCCTAATAGAAACATAGTGTGAGTCAAGGACCCACATTCACCCGGACGCGGGGGCACATGAACCAATGTTACTTGTGACAGACATCCCAAGGTTGTCAGGTTACTTCGAGAAAAACATGCTAAGCCGGTGGATAGTTTAATGGTAATCTTTCGTACTCAACAGGAGAATAGAACACTAGCGAAACAATGAAGAATCAAACATGAACAGGGGGTGGCATGTAGATTAGCTAAGATGTCCAGAGGGCATACACATTTGAGGGAATTCAGAGCACGAAGCGGAGAAGGAGCAGCCCAACGCACACTCATCCAGATGAAATCTCATGATCGAACGCAGACGAAAGCGTAGAGCGTGAGAGCATAATTAAGATGGGGTTGGGCGAGGATATCGTGACGCACAAGTACACATCATATCCCGTCAATGGACAATGAGAAGACTTCTAGGGAAGACGAGTCTTGCGTATGCGGTAACAATGTGTGCACAGAGGGGTTCGCCTTTTGTCGTTCCGGCTTTACCGTCGAGTCTCTCTATGTTCGCCACAAATGTCGAGAGCAACAGGGCAGATACAACGGTCTATGGTAGTTTCCGTGGCTAAAGATTCTTGAGACTTCAGATGTATCGGACGATGTTGGGCGCCGGTACCTGGGTTGAAACTAGGAATGATGCTATGCTATTTCTATAGAGTTCTAAGTCTTGCACGAGCTAAGCAGGAGTCATGGGGTAGGCAAGTTAACAAGGTATTAAGATCTAAACTAGGTGAAGTAAACAAGTGTATTGTAAGGTCTAGGAATCTTAAGAGAGTTCTAGGGTGACTATATTGTGAAGCTAGGAGGAGCACCAGAGGCATGACGAACTGAACTGCATTGATTGCTAGAGAAGTGCTCGTAGGAGTCAATATATATGCGAAATAAGTGGGTAAGTCTTGGCAACATGAGACCATGGTGAGATGCATGCGACCATGGTGACGACACATGCGACTATCGTGTGAGCCATGGGTGCCTACAGCAAACATATATAATGTACAAGAAAGGAGCTAGTTCTAATAAGTAAATAGCACAGTGCATAGGTATAGTATTGTGTGAGACACGTGCAACACACACCCCTAGCTTTAACAAAGTAAATCCTAGAGCAAAGCTGTGTAACCTAGTTAACTAGTAAACTATAGGTAATATATTTTACAAGCGAGCGGGCCACACAAGCAATTAGTCTACTCTAATAAAATTTTAACACCTTTCACTTTAATTAATAATGCATCTACTAATTAACTTTTAATACACTTATAAAAAAAAGCTAGATACTCTTAGCCTTTTAACATACACTACAAGCAAGTTGCTTACACACCTAAGTTACTTACTTTTACTAAGACCCTACTCAACTACTCTTTTTACACTAATGTATTTCTAATAACGTACTTCATGGGCGAGTTGCTCACACACCTGAGTCGCTCACTTTTGCCAAGACCCCACCCTAACAAACTCTATTATGGCCCATAACAACCCGCTCTAGCACTATATAGTACAGTACAGCCTAGAATATTATTTAGATACTACTTCTACTTCTTGCTTACACATTTGCGTGTTATCCCTAGTCTAATTACACTGTCTACAGCGCCTTTAGAATAGCTTACTTACTTTAGCTTGCACCTGCTTCTTTGCCTTCTTCCTGTTACTGCGCGCTTTAAACTCCTTTAAAGCTATTAAGCGCAGGCCTTTCTAAATTATTAAAGTTTTTTCTGCCTTAATTTACTTTTTTTTATATAATTTATATTACATAGTAGCCTTATTAGCTACTTAAAGCTTAGTAATTTTCTATTACACTAACACTAGCTTATACATAATTATTACTGCCTTTTTTAAGACCTTTTTAAACACCTTAACTATAAAAGTTAGTAAACTATTTATATACTTCTAAATTTTTATCTTTATAAGCATTAATTAGTTATAAAAAGATTCTTTAAAAAAGAAGAAAAAAAATAGCTTTATAAAAATGTTATAAAGGTAAAACTAGAGCCTACTATAGACTAAGCCTCTTAGAATAGCAATGCCGCACTAGTGCAAAGAGAAGATATAGATACTAGAAAAAGTAAAAGGTAAAGAAAACCTATATAAAGTCTAGACTAGGTATTTCTAACCTAAAAAAAAAGAATAATTAGGCTTTATCTATTAAGCTTTATATAGACAATGTAATTACTATACTTAGAAAACTATTTAAGAAATTAGACTACATAGAGATAAACACTCTAATTACTAATAGCACTTTTAAGGTTATACTATAACGTACTTCATAGGCGAGTTGCTCACACACCTGAATCGCTTACTTTTGCCAAGACCCCACCCTAACAAACTCTATTATAGCCCATAACAACCCGCTCTAGCACTATATAGTACAGTACAGCCTAGAATATTATTTAGATACTACTTCTGCTTCTTGCTTATACATTTGCGTGTTATGCCTAGTCTAATTGCACTATCTGCAGCGCCTTTAGAATAGCTTACCTACTTTAGCTTGCACCTGCTTTTTTGCCTTTGTCCTATTACTGCGCGCTTTAAACTCCTTTAGAGCTATTAGGTGCAGGCCTTTCTAAATTATTAAAGTTTTTTCTGCCTTAATTTGCTTTTTTTTATGCAATTTATGTTACATAGCAGCTTTATTAGCTGCTTAAAGCTTAGTAATTTCCTGTTATACTAACACTAGCTTATGTGTAATTATTACTGCCTTTTTTAAAACCTTTTTAAACACTTTAACTATAGAAGTTAGTAAACTATTTATATACTTTTAAATTTTTATTTTTATAAGCATTAATTACAACTTAAGTTTTAAAGTATTACTTAGAGTTTACAACTGCTAGAGCTTATTATATATAAGTAGTAGTAGTAATAGAGTGCGTAACTTTACATTAAAGCCTATTATAACTTATTATAAGTTAAAAGGAACTAATCTAGCGCTTTAGAACTCTTTTTAAATATTACTAAAAGTAATTATAGTATTATAGGCTACTTTAAAGCATAGTAGGAACTTTATTTTTATAATATAAGTAATTTAGTTATATATAAGGTTTTTAGCTTAGCGCTTATATGCTTTCTTTAAAAAAGTAAAATAACTTATATTAAGTAGCTATAAAAAGTGTAATAAGTAAAAAAGCATATAAATAGTAATAATCTTATTATTTTTATAGTATTACTAAAAATAAAGTAAGTTATAGCTCTTATAGCTATTAATAACTAGCAAATAGTAGCTGCTAATAGTATACTTTTTTATATGCACATTAAAGTGCTTTAACTAGTCTAAACTAAGCTAATTAGTAGTCTAGCTGCGCTTAGAGATTGCAATAACTTAATTCTAAAGTAAATTTTCTTCTTTATACTAGTTTAAAAGGTAGTTACTACCTTAAAAAATAATAAAGAGTAAAATAGCCTACCCTTTAGCATTAATGCCCTAGATAGCTGTTGTCTACTCCTAGTTACTTAGCTAAACTGCTTTTAGCTGTCCTTATCTCTTTAAACTTATAATAACTGCTCTAGTAGATATCTAGCCTATTATAAACCTTATCTTGTTAAAGTTGTACATGTTATTATTCTAGATGCTATACTTAGCTTTAATATTTTTTATAAAGTTAAACTAGCTTTAAATTACTATAGGATTTTTATAAAAAGCTTTTTTATAGTTATACTTACACTTAAACTTTACTTTAAGCTTTAAGTAACACTTAATAAATATATTAAGCTAGTTTATGCTAATATAGCCTATATTATGCTTAGCGTGTAAAGAATTAGCTATATTAGCTACAGCTGCTAGCTAGAGGGGAAATCCTTATGCATCTAGCTTAAGTATGTGCTAAATAATTACCTACTTTTTATTATTATCTAG